TTCGAAGCGGCGGCTCAGAGAAGTGCTGACAAAAGCACTTGTCCCATGAAGGTGAGTTCCTCCTCCTGCATCCCCGCGGGCGCACTGTAATTCTGCTGCTGTTCCAAAGGGGAAGGGAATGACTGACTCATTCAGGTCACCATTGATGTGCAAACTTTGGAGTTGTCCACCCCAAATCTGTCTGTGTAGCATTCCTTTCACCACTTATTGGTGTGGCAGGCTGCACCTTCATGCTTTTCTTTGTCAGCAGATGCTTGGGGTTCAGGAAGATGGTCTGTGTGAGCAGGTTTTATCACTTCAGACTTGATTGTGGCTGTAAGCAGATCTGTAACAGCAAAGCTTACTGGTCTCAGCCTGTTTCACATCTGTCATACAGTTGTCCGGCTGGTTTTAAAGCAACCTCTTTTAAATACAAGTTTGGGAGCTGTGGTGTTCTTTTTCTTTTAAGACAGCCTTTACATTCATTCTCAGTTAACTTTCTTTGATGTGTTTCACACTCTCCTTCCTGCGGAGGTGATAGGTGATGAACAGCTGTTGTACTCAGTCTGCTTTCCTCCTGCAACAGAAAAGCTCTTCAGCTTTGGACCTCAGGATCTTGCTAGGTCTGCCTTTCAGGCTCTGCATATGCACTGAATGAACACTTGTCTTTCCTCTGCAGGATGGAAATCCATTTGGTCCCTTCTGGGATCAGTTCCAAGTGAATTTTGATAAGTCTGAGCTCTTCAAGGGGATTTCCTTCAGTTCTGCATACAAGGACCATTGGATCCAAAGGTAGCCAGAAGATGGAAAAGTGCTGGCGTGCCACTGTAGGCACGTAGAGTAACACATGAAAACAGTTGTGCTAGACACTGTGTAAAGCCTTTGCTTTTTGAGGGAGAGATTGAAGTGGTTAGTTAGCAATATAATTTAAAATTTTAGTGCTTTTTCCATTAAATATTTGCTGAGCGCTCTCTTCCTGTGGGCAGTATGAAGTGTGAACTCTGTTAGGCTGATTGATTTCTGAGACAGTAATATTTAGCTACAGTGTTTATTGATTACATATATAATTATTCTTCAGAAAGAATTGATGCTCAGTTGCTGATCATGAACTGTATTTTGCTGGTTATCTCATGTTTTCAGAGCCACTTTAGTCTTGTCAGTAAGTTTGGGTGACAGAATTACTCTAGTCGAGTGAAAATGTAAACTCTTATTGCTTGGTAGCTCATTGCTATGCGTATGAGATGCTTATCTTTTGTCTGTCAAATAATACTTACTCATTTGTTGCTGGGTCTGAGGTAAAACATAGTACCTAGTTTTGCTTCAATGTTCTGTTCACATGGCAAAATGGTTAGGATTCGTCTTGGGTAAATTTGGAGCACTGGATGCTGCATATTTCAGGGTGTTCATAGTTTCCCTTCTAACCTTCACAAAATTCACGCGCACTAGTCTTTGCAAGATGATGCATGCAAGGTTATGTCACATTTTGGTCTGCTGGGTTTTTTTCCATAGATTTTCACCATCTGAGCACCCTGTACTCGCCTTACCTGGAGCTCCGGCCCAGTTTCCAGTCTTAGAGGAGCACCGGCCCCTCCATAAGTATATTGTGTGGTCTGATGAAATGGTGAAGAAAGGAGAAGCTTATATTCATTCTCTGCTGGTCAGACCCTACGTAGGAATTCATCTGAGGATCGGCTCGGACTGGGTACGGTTCCTGCGTGAGGCTGGTTGCTGTAGCCCGTGCAGTTGCTGTGGACTGGTGGCTAATGCTCTGTGGAAGAAGCTGCCCGAAGAGGAGTTGTGCTTCTGGGGTGGCAGCCTGAACCCCACTAGCATTCAGCTGCGTGTTGGCAATGCCGTTGGGATTCCTCTTTCAAGCAGGCTGTAACACTGCTGGCAGAGGTGGGGGATGTGGTAATGCATTCTCACAGTTGCCATTCAAACATGGTATTTTCTCTTTTCTTCTTCCAATAGAAAAATGCTTGCAATATGTTAAAGGACGGGACAGCCGGGCCACACTTCATGGCTTCACCTCAGTGCGTGGGCTACGACCGAAGTGCTGCGGTCCCTCTTACCATGGACATGTGCTTGCCAGACCTCAGAGAGATCAAGCGTGCTCTCAAGCTGTGGGTGGAAAAGACAGAAGCTAAATCTGTTTATATCGCTACTGATTCTGAGCCCTCCACGACGGACATACAGCAGTTCTTCCAAGGGAAGGTAAGTCTTTCAGAAACCCATTCTGGCAGGAGTGCTTTAATAGAAACCTTCTTTGGATTCTGGCCCATCACTGCTACGGGCAGCAGGCAGGCAGTTATACAATATGTTATTCATAGACAAATATTGGGATCTCAGTGAATTTTGCTCATACCAATAAAAATTATACTGTAAAACTCCTTTTGTAGAGGTTGAAGAGCATTATCCTGCATGGTAGTAAATTTCGCCTTGAAACAATTAAATAAACCTAAGTGATTTTCAATGATGTTTTGACATTTATCTATTCATAAATGAGTTGTAGGGCGACTTGAGACAGAATCCACTCTCTTTTTGTTGTATATTCCCATTTCTAATATTATGCCAAGACATTTGGATTGTAATAATAGATGACTGGATTAATCTGCTTTCCTCGTTTCTCTGCAGATCAAGGTTGTAAGCCTGCAGCCAGAAGTGCCTCAGATTGATTTGTATGTTCTTGGCCAGTCCGATCATTTTATTGGGAACTGTGTCTCTTCATTTACTGCCTTTGTGAAAAGAGAGCGTGATGTGCATGGAAAACCCTCTTCGTTTTTTGGCATGGACCACCCACCAAGATTACGGGATGAATTCTGACCAAAAGAGGAACAGGCTCCGTAGTCCTCAGGGCTCTGAGCTTGGTGCCTTGCTGAGGGACCACACGGTGCTAACAGTGTTCTCCTGCGTGCAGAGCGCGCTGCCAGGCTGCCGTAGACCTGCTTTGGCCCTGTGATACTCCTCACAGTCGCTTCTAGGCTGTTCTGTCTGACTTCCTCTGTATTTCCAGCATGAGGTCAGACAGAAAAGAAATTTTAAATCATGTAGTTTATAGGAAACTATAAACTATATATGGTTTTCAAGATGTAGTTTAGGTAGCTCTCCATTCTCACTCTTTGGGGTTCGCCAGCAATCACGATGAAGCAGCTGCTCAGATTTCCTCTTCTCCATTTTTTTTTTCTGTTAAATTTTACCTGGAGATGTTGTGAAGCTTCTTATCCAAAACTGACCATAAGTCCTTTTTAAGTGCAAAGTATTGTCAGGAATATCACAGTCCCCAGAAGAGGAGTGCAAGATAAAGCTCAGGACTGCAAATTAGCTGTGGATTTTATCAAGTACCACTGTTGCCTTACTAGACCCGTGTCACCTCAGTGCCTTGGTTTCCATTCCCCTGTGAAAAGAGATTTCGTATCCGCTTTGCAGCGGTGCTGTGGGACACCTGGATCTCTGCAGCGGTGCTAGAGAAGGGCAGCAGGGATGTGTTTTAATGTGGCAGCTGCCTGTTCAGCCCGTCTTTGTATGGAATGGGGAGAAGGCATTTGCAGGGACACGGATGAGCTCTTTCATAGCCAGTCCAGAGTTGGAGATTTAGGGCTTGTAGCTTTGTAGCTGTTGATGTCAAGTGGAGGTCTGTGGTAGAGATGAAACTGGGTTTGAGCTAAGACCATTAAAGTAGCCATAGTGGGGCTGGTGTACGTCGTACCCGGGTCTATGGTAATGGTTTCTGTTTTCTTGGGTTTTTTTTGTACTTTGTAAAATAACCCCTCTGACAGCAGAACTCTTGTCTGTAGGAGTAGTTCCCAGCGGAGGTACCTGTGGAAGGTGTTTGCTGATGGTGAAACAGCAGCCCAAAACCCTGAGTTTGGCCCAGTACAGTTCAGTGCTGGTGACACTGATAATCCTGATGTGGTGAGACTCAACTTGCCCAATGCCTTTTGGTACTCCTGTGACTTTATTTTTTTTTGTCCAAAGACCAAGTACAGAACTTACTGCTCCTTTTTAAAAAATGCCGCTCAGGTGAGTCTGTGGTACCAAGGCAGCTCTAAATGTCTTTTGGTGGTGGATTTTCTTCCTCCTTGGAAATGTTCTTGAGCTTTGAAGGAGTTTGAAGGCTCAAGGGAGTGAGCAGAAGAGGGCTAAATGAGAAGTATCAGGGTGGCAAAGACGCGTCTCTTCTTTCGTCGGTGCTGGGTTCCAGAAATTACGGGGTTTGGTGGTTTCAGGGCCTCTGGCCACATCCCAGCATGGGCCTGGGGGAGCCTGGAAACCTGCACCCTCCTCAGTATTTCATT